AGTAGTAGACAAAGATGAGATGATACCGACAAAGACAAGGGAGACCGGAATGGCCATTTCTGGCTTATTAGCCGTCATCAGCCAGTCATACCCAACCCCAAGTGTGGATCACTTGAGATTCGAACCCGGGATCTTTGGTCATTGAGTTTGACGCTCTACCATTGAACCACGGGCCCGTTGTCCTGTCGGTTGTGATCGGGAATATTAATTATGACAGTGGGCGCTCGCCGATCAGGTTACGGAACATGCTCGTTCCGTTGTGCCTTGGGGCTCATACTAGAACCCTCGCACGCAGTCGCACAGCGACTAGTTGTAGACATAGATGACATGATATATACATATATATGTTGAATAAGTGATGTGGGTTGCATTCCGAGGTGATATAATGAAAAAGAGAAGGCTCTTCAGAATATCGAGTTGTACTCGTAAATTTTTAAGTCGGTGACACCGACCAGTCGTCAGAGGAAATGAAGTGAAATGGGCAATACTGCATCAAAAATTCTCAGGTTTTTCTACAAAAGACCCAAGGCCTTGAAGTAAATCCTGACGAATGCATCCTATCGTTCGATGTTGCTGACCTATCATCTTCAATATCGCATGACTTAGCGATTGACAGCGTAGCCCGATGTCTTGAACAAAACCCCATTGGTATTCAAACACAACATGTTCTAAACATGCTTATGCTTTGCCTAAAGAATTATTGTCAGTTTGATGACAAGTACTATCAACAAGTAAATGGCACCCCAATGGGCTCCCCAATATCGGGGCTGCTTGCAGAACTAGTCTTGCAGAGACTAGAACAGGATGTTGCGCAAACTTTTGAACCAAAAATGTGGCTTCGCTGCGTGGACGACACATTTGTCATCATAAAGACCAGCGAAGTTGAGCAAATGCACCATAACTTAAATAGCGTCTTCCCGGCTATACAGTTCACTCGCGAAGAAGCAACAGGAGATATCCTCCTGTTCTTAGATGTGAGTATACAAAGACTTGGTGATGGCAAACTAACAACAAGCGTCCACAGAAAAGACTCTAGTGCCGAAATCATACTTAGCTATGGGAGCAATCATCCTTCGGCACATAAACGAAGCTGCGTTCGCATTCTTTTCCATCGGGTCTATCGCATCTGCAACAGTGATGACTTACTTAAGAAAGAATTGGCTTACTTACATCGGTTCTTCCTGTCCAACGGATATCACGCCAGTTTTGTAAAGAACTGTCTCAGACGCCAGAGACAAATACTAAGCGCCGAGTCTAATGGAAATAGAGTCTCACAGAAATTCTATTCACTGCCATACATTCAGGAAATTTCTAAAACACTCTCCCGGCAATTAAAACGCTTTGGCATCTCCATTGCCCATAAGACCTCATCTTCCCTACGCGAGGCATTTTGCAGAGTAAAGGACCCGGTACCCAATGAACAAATAACTAGCGTCATCTACCGTATACCGTGCGCCAACTGCCCTTGTGTGTATATTGGCCATACAGGACGATGTCTTGGGACTCGCATTAACGAACACAAGTTAGCCCTCCGCCGACGTGACCCTCTGTCCCTCGTGTTTGCGCACGCCCTTGAGCATGACCACCGTTTTAATTGGAACAATACTGAAGTGATCGCAAGGGCTAAAACTAGACAGGCACGAAAATTCCTCGAAGCTTGCCATTCTGGCACGACCAGCACCAACCGCCACGTCAATCTAGACGCTCACTACGAGGGCTTACGTACACGCTCACTGTCTTTTTCCCACACTAACAACTGCAAACCTCCACTCGGCCACATAGACAAACGCTGTTTCGCCATTCCGCCACCCCCCCTACGGTGAACAACAACCGAAACCCCCTAACACCTCCAACGTCGGCGCATTGCCCCTGACCTCATCCCGCATCAGTGACCAGCCACCCGCATTCTCACTGATCTGCAATCCCCCCGCGTTTTCTCCACCTCCAACACAGGGAGCCCTAACGGTTCTCCCTTCCCTCCTCCTGCCCCACAGCCTGCCATAACTCGGCCCCACCCCTCTCACGCATCAGCTGTCCGTTTGCCGTTGTCTGTCCTGTCGCGCCAGCCGACCTAGTCTGCCCATTTCACTTTCCCTTCTGTTCATTTCGTCTGGCAACGGGTCGGCGTCACTGACTTGAAAATTTAAGAAGAGTACAAATCGATATTTCGAAGAGCCTTCTCTTTTTCATATATATATATATATATATATATATATATATACATATACATATATATCGACAAGGTTGGAAATGCGTACACTGATCGATCTACGGAGAATGTTGCACATGCTGCGCCCTGACGATCAGTGCAGATCCCCATAGGCATCCACACACCCGCTAGACGTAAGCGCAGGAGACGAATGTTGACAGAGGCAAGCACATGCCTATTAGCCGCCGTCCGTTATTCCTAACCTAACTCATATTTTCTAGACATGGGTCTCGAACTCGCGTTCTTTGATCATCACGCGTTGTTAAGTTCAGCGACCTACTATTAACCACAGGCCCTTCGTCGCACATTTCATTCTCTAAATATCTTGCATTTTAAGCATAATTCAAACACTCCGTACGCGTGGAAGAAGGCACAGAAGATATACTCAACATCGGTCAACGTCATTTAAAGAGGGCACGCCTACAGCCTTACGGGATACAAATCCACCTGACAAAACAGTTCTGACCTTGGTGTTTGTTTGGGAATTAGTCAGACCGCTAAGCCACCATGTGTTGTGCCAGCTCTGGCTGTGCGCCGAAGGGTGTGGCAGAAAATGCGTAAATTCAAACCACTTACAAACTCCCGAATTCGTACCACACAAATAAACTATTCGGCAGCTCCGCGTGACTCCACCCGACGACCGGGTGCACGCCATCCACCCATTTGTTCCTTTATGATCGTATGTGCACCGGCCTCCCCCAGGAGGGGGGTAGGTGGCACGACAATGCCTTTTCCAGGCACGCGGACCGCAGCTAAAGTAGGTTGACTCATCTGTGTGCCGCAGTTGGGCTGGCTGGCACACTGAGTGAGAACAATTTGGACAACTAACCGTCCTGCACTGTTAAGGCTATTCTCGAGTGAGAATACGCTCCGTGAGGTTGAGGGTGGTGTGAAACGTCCTTTAGTGGTATTGAATCACACTATATCTATTCAGCGTCTGGACATATTTCTGGATAGAAGACGTCGATTACTCACTATGTGTGAATTACGTACAGATCGCACCGATAGTGCTTAGACAGTTCGCACTTTGGCATTTGGAGAAACACCCAGTCGGCATAACGCGACTCAGCCTGCGTGAATAGCTGTTCTTATGGCGCCTCGGTGTTTTCACCTCAGAATGTACAAGACTAATTCCCCCACCGACAAAGTACTGGCAGGATGTAGACATCAGACGATCAATTAATTTAAAAGTTCATATCCGTGAGTAGTGGACGGATTAGGTGAAAAAGTCTGGATAGGGATCTAGCACAAATGATGGAATTATTGTCGCGGAAAATATGCGGCAGGAGCAGGAAGCTGGCAGCTGACGCGCTGGTCGTTGCTGACGTAACGACAGCGTGGTGGATCTTCAAACACATGCGCAGTTCGAATATGCATGCGGAAATCGCTCAATACTACACTCGAGAAAATAGTAGCCCAACGCCAATCCCAAACATAACGCTAACTCTAAACGTGACAGTATCTCCTACCAAAAACTCAACATACACGTCAATATACGTCAAAGTAAATCTAACCGTATCAATAATTTTCTCGAAATTTTGCACAAATCCAAGAGACGATTTTGCTCCCGGCCCAGCCGGAGGGACCCATTTAAAATATTCAACCAACCGCAACCATAAACTTAATCATAAACCTGACCGCAACCCGAAAGCTAACTTATCCCCAAACAAAGCCATCAAAGCAACAATAAAAGTAAACTTAAACCTTACAATAATTTCAGTAACATTTAGCACAAGTCCATGAGGCGCTTGGATGCCCGACCCAGCCGGAGGGGACCATATAAAAATCCGTGTCTTCTGAAATCTTACGCGGTAAATTGTTGAATGAAATGAGTAGGGCGATTCACGGTAATCGCATTCGCAGACGAGCGTCATAAGTGCGGGAAATTACGACAAGTAAATGACTGCAAACTGTACGTTCGCATGGTAGTCAGTAGAAGGCAGAGTGGGAGTTTCAATTTTCATGCGAAAACCATCGTCCAGATAATGCACAGACAGTCATGCAGCATAAAATAATGCCGCCGAATATGCTCTCACCCATGTTGGAAACTCCGCATATGGGACTGTAATGCGGATGCTCGACAGTTCAGGTGTTTATTCACCAACTCTCAATCAACATTAACATTCGCCTTTAGCATGCCTTTTTCATCGTTTCTCCACGCCGATAACGATGCCTTTCCGAGAGGAAGTCGACTACCTCGTTTGTTAGAATATTTCGACTTCAAATAATTCAGCATATAACAAGCGGATGTAACGGGGAGATGTCCCGCGTCCAAGAAAACGCTTGCGGCATTCAACCATCTGGCATCATGCGTCATTCGGCCGCTAATCTCCCGCTACAGCTTCCAAATCATGCCGAATACGTGGGAGTATTAAGATAATGTGTGTCGTAGAAAACGTTACTAACGACGACAGAAGAAGAAGAAGAATTAATAACAGTCATTTTAGCGAGCATTTATGAAATGCAGGGTAAAATGGTAAATGACTCTCAGACATAGGTCGGATTTCCAAATTCCTAATAACAAATATGGCAGACGGATGATGAGGTGCGTAGTCACAGAAGAGACCAAAAGTGGCTTTTCTGCAATGAAAGTTTGTTCACCTAACATGAACACAATAAACTGCTTTCGAATGCATGCAAACTATCTCGACCAGTCCAGGGAAAGCAGAGGGCGAATGAAATTGAGCAGGGAAACGAAATATACGTGCGTCTTTGCTGTATGGGTCGCACACAACCAGTCTCAATCAACCTCTGCGCCAATATCAAGCCCATGACAGCCGACTACGCAGTTACAGTTGTGACTTGCAGCCTCCCTCTCCCACGCACGCGGTTTCTATGCTACCGTCGACAAATCTACCTGCCACTACACTTCGCGGTCTCTAATCGCTCTGCACCTTTTTGAAGGAAACCTCAGTTCGTCCTCTATGGGGAGCCAAACCCTAGTTAAGCTTAAAATGCAGATTTGACATATTTGGTCATATAAATACCCTTATTATTGTTGCTCAACCGGAATTCAAATGACCTCTTATGTTCCATATGATGGTTCACTTGTGAGTTAGGGCGGTCAAAGTTAGATGGATGCCTATGACGTGTGTGATGAGGCGATTCAGTTTAGAAAGGGAGGGGTGGTGACTTTACGGTGCCACGGGGCCTCATTGTGTACAAAGTTTTAGCGTTCAAAACTACCTACGGTAAATGAGTCCAAATGAAGAAGGACCGGAGTAAATTGCAAAAGTGTCGAATCATTTAGTAATTCGCCAATTCATCTTATAACGACAGGCATGCCAAATCCACCAGACCGTAAGTGATCGACTTTCGTTTACGCGTGCAGCATACCTCACGGTCGCCAACTCCAAGTATGCCAGGTCATAGGTTACTCAGGATGGCTGGTTTACACATCCACTTATCAAGCCACGAATTTGGCGGGTCATTTTCGCCTACGATTACCCATGGCTTGTTCTAATGAGGGATCTGGGTCAAACACAGCTAGTCTCACTTAATCTCCCCTAAAGCATGTTCAAGCCCAGGACAGGTCGACCACAGATGAGATGAGATACATTTACGGCTGTGGCCTGAAGCCTCCGTCTTCCACGTACATAGTTACTAGGCTACCGTCAACGCGTCTGTTTGACACTGCTCTTTGCGGTCGCTAACCCCTGTGATTCAGTCATACCTCCTTCAATTTTGGCTCTGAGTAATGCACTAGATTTCGACCAGATGGCACGTTCAGTAGATGGACTGTTGAGTGCTTACAAATACAGATTAATCGGCTTCGACCGGTTAATCGGTAGATTGGAAAGGACATTATGTCTGCCGAGGCGACTTTGGTTATTAAATTAATCTTACGTAATTTAGCCGAGGTAGCCGCCAACAGGTCCCTCGCACACGAGGTGCGATTTACACGAGTATCCTCAAACACTCGCTAAACCTGACAAATCTGGCAAATTACAAGGGACCACGATTGAAGTAGATATGACTGCCGAATTTGTGTGCTGAAATGGACATCGACATTTACAGTGAGTGACCGATGTCCTGAAATGTTGGCTGGAATTATGAAATGCGTTTCCGATTATGAAGGATTACTTAAGTGGGGTTGGTATACTGATTATCATGCAGCATAATCATATAAGATTTCAGACTCGCCAGGATGGCGGCTTTTGAATGCACTTCTTTTTGACATCATGCGGAAACCACAGTCGGTAAAGAATGACTACATATGTAACATGCATTTTTCCTATTGATTTTCGAGGGCCTTATAAATTCAAAAATATTTTATAGAAAGCGTGCACAAAATCTGCTTTCTTTTGCTCAGTTGTTAGGAAATCACATTGTCCTTATATTTTATGCCCGAAAAAGTGTATATTTAAGTTTTGAATAAGTTTTTAATTATGAGGTTTTTAAGACCATGCGATGTCCATGAATGCAAGACTGTACATGTCCGTTTACTAATGCTCCTCGTGAAATGTATAAAACGGTCGGGATCCATTGAAAAACTTCATGAACTCTATGTTGTATCTTTTTAAAGGCATAAAGGAATATACGATTTTCCTTACGCGGAAAGCATGCACCTTGTAGACCAAAATTGCTAAACGCTGATGCAATGGCAGATCAGGCTGAAAAAATTCGATAAATGGGAGACATTTTGAAAACCTAAATATACACTTTCTTCGGGCATAAAATATGAAGACAATGTGATTTCCTACCAAATGAGCAAAAGAAAGCATATTTTGTGCATGTTTTCTATGAAATATTTCTGAATTTATCTAATCATCGGAAATCAATAGGAAAAATGCATGCTACATATGTAGAAATTTTTTACCGAGTGTGGTTTCCGCACGATGTCAAAAAGAAGTGCATTCAAAAGCCACCATCCTGGCGAGTCTGAAATCTTATAGGGTGATGCTTCATGATAATCAGTATAATATCCCCACGTAAGTAATCCTGCATAATCGAAAACGAATTCCAGAATTATGGCCGAAATTTCATGATATCAATCACGCACTGTATGTCTTATAGAAACTGGGAACAAAAGTATGTTTTCTTTCAGTAGTTTAGTAAAGAATTACGTCAGATTTATATTTTATACTCGAAAAGGGAGCATCATTAGGTTTAAAGAGAGTTTTCAATTGCCGAATAATTTGAAGTCTGCTCAGTCATTGCACTAGCGCTTAGTGATTTCAGTCTACAAGGTTAATGCGTACCACGTGGAGAAAATCACATATTCTTCTATGCTTTCAAAAAGATGTCATACAGAGTCCATAAAATGTTTTCAACGGATGCGGACGTTGCTTTACATTTCATGAGGAGCAGTGGCAAACGAACAGGCACAATGCTATATGAATGGACATTGCGCGGTCTTAAAAATTTCACTATTAGAAACTTTGCTAAAACCTAATTATACTCCCTTTCCGAGTACAAAATATAAAAATGACGTGATTCGCTATCAAATGACTGAAAGAAAGCAAATTTTTGTTTGTGGTTCCTATAAAATAAGTTGTCATTTTTTACCGAATACGGTTTCTACAGGAAATAAAAGAGCAGTGTATTCAAAAGCTGACATCTTGCCGAGTCCGTGATATCATAGGATTATGTCGCATAATAATCAGTATGACAACCGCGCCTAAGTAATCCTTTCTAATCGAAAACGCATTTCAGAATTCCATGAGATCCATGAGATCGGTCAGTCACTGCATATGCTGACTTGAGGCATGCTGATAAGCTTCCCCCTCAGACGGGACCTGAAGTATGTTGGTTGAGTGTTTCCAATATTAAGTAGACTTCTGCCTTGTCTGTCGGGGATAGGATTTGGCAAACCAAGCCATGCTGATGCAAGCGTCTCAGCCAGCGAATGTGGCGTTTTGGATCTTGAGAAGACAGAAATAGAATTTATAAAACATGCATGAAACTCCGTCCAGCAACCGGATACTTTGTGTAGCCGTCAGTCAGCAGCAGAGCATTAGCTGCAAAGGACTAATGCTGGACCGCACTCTTCGAAGCCGTGTGGGTCTGTGCTCACGGGAAACATACGAGTGCAGACAATTAATGAGAAAACCGACACCTCTGTGGACTCTTGCTGTGCTGGCGGTGATGCTGATGGTACGTTGGCATATCGGTGGAGGGTCGAAATTCCAGCGGGCATCCTAGTGCATGGGGCGGTCATTATTTTCTTCGTCGAATTCACCGGAAGAACGTTGAAAAATGGATCGATAATTGGTTAAGATGGATTTATTGCGAAAAGCGCATAAAAAATGTCAATTATTTGTCCGATAGGGGAGTGCCCCCACTCTAGACTGTTTTTTTGCGTGCGGGCCGTGCAACAGCCCATCGACCAACAGCCCACAGCCTACTGTCGAACACTGTTGTTAGCAGACACCAGCGATTGACAGGCCGGTAAGTATCGGAATATTCGCAAACAGCAAGGATAGACGCCCGAGGAAGGGTTATTATGCCTTCTTACTTCGATCCACCTTGCGATAGGCAGTCTCGACAACGTCCTAGTCTTTTGCGCCATAAAAACCAGGGCTCGCACCTTCTGTCTGATTAGTAAGCAATCACGTGTCTAGCAATTTATCATAGCAGCTACCTTTACGCCTTTATTGGTGAAGATATCGCGGTAGAAATTAAATGTCGATAGAGTGGTCGCCTAACCTAACCAGAACAGGAAGACTTGAAAGCTGAAGAGGGTCTAATCTGTCGTCGGGTATTGTGGCCAAGCGCTGCATGATTTAAGCCACGGGATCAGACGCTGTAGGTTGTGATCAGAAATACTTCCAATATGCACTATTTAGGTCGATTTACGAACCATTAAGTCAGGATTCTGAGTCCATTTCAGGCCAACAGAATTTGGCGATTTGTTTGGTTCATTTGCTTTCACAACCATCCACAGAGCTTCAAAACTGTTACACCATTGGCAATACGTCCAGCTGGTAGAGCTGCCCATTTTACTCTGCACCTGGTGAACCTAATCGCTTAGGCGTGGAAGTTGAGTGAAGAGACCGTTGGGATTGGGGAAAGTCGAATTTTAGATTATTCAGTAGACTACATCCTGCCTTATTGGTAACGGGTTGGGTTGCGGTACATGAATACTTCCTCGAGGAGTGCAGTTAGTGTTCTGCATTCGTGTAAGGCACTCTATACTTCTTTTATTTCCTACATTCGTGAGGGAAGAAAACAGGCTCAATAGACAGCCTGTTTTATGGACGTTGGAGTGGAGGCTTCGGCGGCTGGAGGGGGTAGTGGATATTATGCCCTTTGCAGTCTCTCGACTGGTAGGGCGGATGCAGTTAATTCGTTCTTATCGGACAAATTTTAATCAACCTTCTAAACATACGACCTGTGCGAATTTAGACTAAGCCTACGTTCGTGAACCGAGCATGACACACGCGTACTAATACGTAAGAGTGTGTGTGCGTGGGGATTTGCGAACTTTCTATAACAAGGACGAACCGGTGGAGCCTCGTCGAAGTAAAGACTCGGAGGTTACTGGTGGCGTTTCGCATGCGTGTCGTCGTAGGATGGATTAGTGAATTACTAAATGATTCGACTCTTTTACAACTTACTCCGGTCCTTCTTCATCTGGACTCTTTGACCGTAGGTAGTTTTGGACGCTAAAACTATGTATACAATGACGCCCCATGGCACCGTAAAGTCACCACCCCCTCCCTTTCTAAACTGAATCGCCTCGCCCCTCACGTCATAGGCATCAATCTAACTTTGACCGCCCTAAGTCACAAGTGAACCATCATATGGAGAATAAGAGGTCGTTTGAATTCCGGTTGAGCAACAATAATAAGGGTATTTATGTGACCAAATATGTCAAATCTGCATTTTAAGCTTAACTAGGGTTTGGCTCCCCATAGAGGACGAACTGATGTTTCCTTCAAAAAGGAGCAGAGCGATTAGCGACCACGAAGTTTAGTGGCAGGTATATTTGTCGACGGTAGCATAGTAACCACGTGCGTGGGAGAGGGAGGCTGCAAGTCACAACTGTAACTGCGTAGTCGGACCGTCATGCGCTTGAAATTGGCGCAGAGGTTGATTGAGACTGGTTGTGTGCGACCCATAGAGCAAAAACGCATGTATATGTCGCTTCCCTGCTCAATTTCATTCGCCCTCTGCTTGCCTTGGACTGGTCGAGATAGTTTGCATGCATTTACGACCGATTTATCATGTGCTTTTTGGGTGAACAAACTTCCTTTGCAGAAAAGCCTTTTTTGGTCTCTTCTGTGACTAAGCACCTCATCATCAGTCCGCCATATTTGTTATTAGGAATTTGGGAAGCCGACCTATGTCTGAGAGTCACTTACTATTTATCTCTGCATGTCATAAATGCCCGCTATAATGACTGTTATTATACCTTCTTCTTCTTCTTTCGTCGTTCGTAACGTTTTCTACGACACACATGATCTTAATACTCCCACGTATTCGGCATGATTTGGAAGCTGTAGCGGGAGATTGGGGTGTAGGGGTGTCCAGCGGTGGGTTCACGTGATGGTCGTAGTGGTCGCTCACTTGCTTGCAGGTGAGACTACGCCTAGCGTCTATTTGCTTGCACCCAACTCTCACCTGTGGCTCCACGAAGCTGGGCTCTGCTCAGCGGCCACACCCCGGGCAAATGTCTCGACCGGCGGGCTAAACCAGGTGAGGGCGCTGTGCGCTTGTGCCGCGTGCACAGTGTACTGCGGACTCCGCTGGATGGATGGTCGAATGAAAAACTGCGCCGGCATCGTCGAGACGAGGCTCCGCCTGGTACGCCGTTGGACATCTGCTGCCGGGACGGGTCTCCGCATCGCCTTCGCTGAGACGCGCCCACCCTCGCCGACGGAGACCGCGGACTCACGACATATGCGGTCGTTCTCCACTACAAACACAAAAGTCGTGGCCTCATAGTAAAATTCGGTCGCGCCAACCAGGCACATGGGCAGCCCGATTCAGGGGCGGCACTGCCTGCCCCCACGAGGGGAAGGGCCTAGAAAAGGTGGCCTAAAAAATGCTGGGCACCACGCCGTCTGCAGGCTAGCCAAGGCCGCAGATGTCATCAACACGGTCGAAAGAATCAAAATAAAAATAACAACAATACCAATAACAACAACAACCATATTCATTCTCCTCATCCTACCTCTTCTTCCTCTTCCTCTGCCTATTATTCTCCTTCGTCACCTTCTCCATCTCCTTCCCGCCGCCCCACTCGTTGTCCCCAGACTGGCAGGGTGAGCCCGCTCGCTCTGGCAGCCTGGAATGTTCGTTCCCTTTTAGACAATCCGAGGAGCAACCGACCGGAGCGGAGGACGGCTCTAGTGGAACGAGAACTCGCCCGCTACAAGGTTGACATCGCCGCACTCAGCGAGACCCGATTCTCCGAACAAGGCCAACTGGAAGAGGCAGGTGCCGGCTACACCTTCTTCTGGAGTGGTCGGCCCAGGCCAGAGCGACGAGACGCGGGCGTCGCCTTCGCCATCCGGAACGACATCATGGGACGACTGCCAAGTCTGCCGCAGGGCATCAACGATCGTCTGATGAGCCTCCGTCTGCCTCTTCGGGGCGGGGGCAAATTCGCCACCATCATCAGCGCCTACGCTCCGCCGATGAGCAGTCCCGACGCCACCGCAAGAGACAAATTCTACGAGGACCTGCACGCCCTCTTGGCGACTGTGCCGAAGGCGGACAAGTTGATTGTCCTTGGCGACTTCAACGCCCGCGTCGGCACAGACCATACTGCCTGGAGGGGAGTGCTGGGTCCCCACGGTCTCCGCGGCTCAAACGACAATGGTGTGCTGCTTCTCCGCACCTGCGCAGAACACCGCCTCATCCTGACGAACACGTTTTTCTGTCTGCCGGAGCGAGAGAAGGCCACCTGGAGGCATCCTCGGTCGCGCCAGTGGCACCTGCTGGACTATGTCCTCGTCCAGAGGCGAGATCAGCGGGACGTGCTGGTGACGAAGGCGATCGCGGGTGCTGACGGGTGGACCGACCATCGCCTCGTCATCTCGAAGATGCGTATTCGCCTACAGCCTCGCAGGAGACCACAAGGTAAGCCACCCCCAGGTAAGCTGAATATTGCCCCGTTTTCTTTGCCCGCTCACCATCTTCATTTCAGCACTGAGCTAGCTCAAAGGCTAGACAACCTTCCTATCGCTGCCGACGCCGCCACTGCCGAGAACGCCTCCGTGGAAAACCGTTGGTGTCAACTGCGAGACACGGTTCAGTCAACGGCGCTCGCCGTCCTCGGTCGCGCTTCCCGCCAACATCAGGACTGGTTCGACGACAACGACGCCGCCATCAGAAATCTGCTTGCTGAGAAGAACCGCCTACACAGAGCCTACGTAGATCACCCAACTGAGGGCAACAAAGCTGCCTTCTACCGCAGTCGTTGCCAACTTCAGCAACGACTGCGCGAGATGCAGGACGCCTGGACTGCTCGCAAAGCTGAGGAGATCCAAGGGTACGCGGACCGCAACGAATGGAAGAACTTCTTCTCTGCGATCAAAGCTGTCTACGGTCCGCCGACGAAGGACACTGCTCCTCTCCTCAGCGCCGACGGCAACACTCTCCTGACTGAGAAGACGCAAATCCTGCAGCGATGGGCCGAGCATTTTCGAGGCGTCCTCAACCGCCCCTCCGTCATCTCCGACGCCGCCATCGAGCGCTTGCCGCAAGTGGAGACCAACGTGGACCTCGACCTCCCGCCATCTCTCCGGGAGACCATCAGGGCCGTGCAGCAGCTCTCCAGCGGGAAAGCACCCGGATCGGACGCAATCCCTGCTGAGGTCTACAAGCACGGAGGTCCCCAATTGATGGATCACCTGACTGCGCTCTTCCAGGGGATGTGGCGTCAAGGCGAATTCCCGCAAGATTTCAAGGACGCAACCATCGTGCATCTCTACAAGCGCAAAGGGAATCGCCAAGTCTGCGACAATCACCGCGGCATCTCCTTGCTGAACATCGCCGGGAAGATTTTCGCACGAATCCTCCTCAACCGTCTCAATAACCATCTCGAACAGAGCCTTCTGCCTGAAAGCCAATGCGGTTTCCGTCGTCATCGTGGGACCACGGATATGATCTTCGCCCCCCGTCAACTTCAGGAGAAGTGTCAGGAGATGCGGACCCACCTGTACTCTACCTTCGTGGACCTGACGAAAGCCTTCGACACGGTGAAGCGTTAAGGACTGTGGAAGATCATGCAGAAATTCGGCTGTCCAGAGCGATTCACTCAGATGGTGCGTCAGCTGCACGACGGTATGATGGCGCGAGTCACGGACAACGGAGCTGTCTCAGAGGCATTCGCAGTGACCAATGAGTGAAGCAGGGCGGCGTACTGGCGCCTACCCTCTTCAGTCTTATGTTCTCTGCCATGCTGATGGACGCCTACCGCGACGAACGCCCCGGGATTCGCATCGCCTACAGGACGGACGGTCACCTCCTGAATCAACGGCGGACGCACTTCCAATCACGCGTATCCACAACCACCGTTCACGAACTCCTCTTCGCCGACGACTGCGCCCTGAACACCACCTCAGAAGAGCAGATGCAACGGAGCATGGACCTATTCTCCGCCGCCTGCGAGAACTTCGGTCTGGTCATTAACACGCAGAAGACGGTGGTGATGCACCAACCGCCACCCAACTCAGCCACAGCTCCCAACGCGCCGCCGCAAATCAGCGTGAATGGGAACCAACTGCAAGTGGTGGAGAAGTTCCCGTACCTGGGCAGTACTCTCTCCCGCAACACCAAGATCGACGACGAAGTCGCCAACAGGATCTCGAAAGCCAGTCAAGCCTTCGGTCGCCTCGAAAGCACAGTTTGGAATCGCCACGGTCTTCAGCTGAGCACGAAGCTGAAGATGTACAAGGCCGTCATCCTGCCGACGCTACTGTATGGAGCGGAGACTTGAACGGTGTACGCAAAGCAGGCACGTCGTCTGAACCACTTCCACCTCAGTTGTCTTCGTTGCATCCTGAAGCTAAAGTGTCAGGATCGAATCCCCGACACTGATGTGCTGGAACGGACGGGAATCCTCAGCATCTACGCCATACTGAGGCAAATTCAGCTGAGCTGGAGCGGCCACCTGGTGCGCATGGACGACGAGCGACTACCCAAACGACTCTTCTACGGAGACGTCGCGACGGGTTCTCGTCGTCAAGGAGGCCAGATTCGCCGTTACAAGGATACCCTGAAGTCCTCCCTGAAATGCC